CAGTTTTGAGAATTGCAGATGCAGTACTATTGAGGGGCATTAGTTCCACCTGTTGTTAGTCAGATGCCTGATTTCGGTAAAATTGTAATACACGTATTTCCAAAGTTAATTTGGCAGCAGATTTAGGGCACAAATCTGAAACGAGTTTTACCTTACTTTTGCCGTGATTTTAAATGGCCACTGTCCTTTCCGAAAGCAACATTGTTTTAAATAGCACTGTCAAGGTAGTTCTTTGCAACTTCTTCGCCAGGATGCTGAAGTCAAGGTGATCTCTTACGTTGGAGAAGCAGAGCCATGCTAAAGATGTTTGATGATCTTTTATGGTGGCTTCCTCCATGTGTTTGCAACAAATAGAAAAGAGTGAGATAAGATGATCTCACTCACCATCGGGCAGATGGGTCAATGAAATTTAGACGTGGGAACGGTAGATGTGAACGACTTAGTCGGGGATGAATACCTCCTCTGCAGTCTGTTATCCTTTTTTTTTTTTTATTAGGCCACCAACTCTTCTGAGTGATTTCAGAGTGCTGAGCTCCTGAACCTGCTACTGAGCTCCCTTCTAGTGGAGGAATTACGAGAACATCTGAAACTTTGAGAGGATTTTAAATCCTGTCAAGCTAGAAGAGTATCCTAGAGAGTGGACCAAATAGAAATAAGGCTGTTCAAAGGACAGTTTGGGTTTCTCCGCCCCACGTTAGAAGAACATCGTATAGCATGACTGTGTCGGTTTTGCTGGGGTACAGTTAATTTTCTTCATAGTAGCTAGTATGGGGCTGTGTTTTGGATTTGTGCTGGAAACAGTGTTGATAATACGGGGATGTTTTCGTTGTTGCTGAGCAGTGCTGACACAGAGCCAAGGCCTTTCTGCTTCTCGCCCTACCCCACCAGTAAGTAGGCTGGGGGTGCACAAGAAGCTGGGAGGGGACATGGCTGGGACAGCTGACCCCAACTGACCAAAGGGATATTCCATACCATGTGACGTCATGCTCAGCAATATAAAGCTGGGGGAAGAAGAAGGAAGGGGGGGACGTTCGGAGTGATGACGCTTGTCTTTCCAAGTAACCTTTATGCGTGATGGAGCCCTGCTTTCCTGTGCTTTGCTTGTGTGTGTGGCTTTTGCTTTACCTGTTAAACTGTCTTTATCTCAACCCACAAGATTTCTCACTTTTACCCTCTGATTCTCTCCCCCATCCCACCGGGGTGGAGTGAGTGAGCGGCTGTGTGGGGCTTAGTTGCCGGCTGGGGTTAAACCATGACAATGACTTTACCTGAAGAAGCCTTACAGGGAAAGTGAGAATTGTTCAAGTGGAAAAACACTGCAGAATTATTCATTTCCCGGTTAATCATGTATTCGTATGCTCAAAAGCCCTCTTACTTTTTTTTTTCTTTACTCACATGGATAGGCATCCTGCTTTGTAAAGACACGCTCTTACTAGGTGCTTTCATTTTAACCCAGAGATGCCCAGCCTTTTTGCTTAGGTTAGGCCAAAGGCCTGTAACCTAGCCGTTGAGACGTGACTGGCAATTCAGTGGATGAGGTGTTAGCTGATGCTGCTTTTGCTGTGTGTGCTAGTAGCTGCAACCTGCAGTGGTAAAACTGATATGTTTTGTGCATGAAAAAGAAGTAATGACTAGGATTTGAATATGTAAGGTATAAAGGAAAACATACAGGACAGAAAAATAAAGCTAAAAGTGTGCGTTCTCAAGACAACAAGATACTGAAGTGATAGAAACGAGCAATATGGGCAAGGAGGTACTCCTCTGGTGATTATTATGCTAATATGTAGAAAATTGCGCTCCCTGTACCATGTAGATAAAGGTACAAATTTATTTTTCAAGTACGTTAAAAACAATCTGTAATGAGTTTCTTCCCTAAGCATTTAGGTAACTTTGCTGCAAGCTGTTCATACAGTATCAGTTTCTGCTGCTGTCTGATTGACTGAGACAAAGCCGAGCGACCTGCTGCTCTGCCATCTTCCTGACATGCACAGTCTAGGGCTGTGGGTGTAGAGGGTATTAAGGTCAGTCATGCAGAACAAAGCGGGGCTGGGTGAGCATTGACTTTGCATGTTATTATTCTCTAGCTCACTAATCCTGATTACTATACCACACCAAAAATGTAGGTGCTTGCCTAAATATAAAAGGAACCGGAACAGGCCCTAAAAACACAAAAAAAAAAAAAACCCCCCTGCCACATCCATGTAGGGTGTCTGATAGCAGGTGATGACATTAAAATGTCTAGATCTCTAATACCTGGAGATTTACAACAATGATTAGAATAATCTTAGACCTGTTTATTGTACAAATACCTGTTTATTTAGAAGTTCTTGTCAATGCGTAAGGAAAATGGTCCTGAAACAGATGAATGTGCCATTCAGTTAACACTAGCTGGTCAGGGTGCTCCCTTTTTAAATATCTGCAGCATTGTTTTTAGAAAAAGATAACGGTATCTTTAATAAAGATTTGAACTGGGAGCAGCAGTGTTAGTGAACATTTCCACAGCAAGTTTTAACGACTAGCTGGCCCAAATAAGTACAAAATCGCAATGTCCTGATGCCTTTCTTGCAAGGTAGAAACAAGTAGAAACATGCTATCAGAGGTAGTTCATGCATACCAGTGCAAATTCTGTTCTTTGTTATTTGTGGGGATCTCAATTTGGGCAATTTTGTGCTACATATTGTAGGAAAGACTGGGTGCAATACAGTATTGCTGTGCACACCCCACTTGAGGAGTGGAAGATGCTTTAAATCTCAATTATTTTGAAAATGTCGCAATCTAATACATCTTTGCTGTTTGTGAACAGCAAAGGGTGTCATCTACGAATTTCAGAAAATTACCTGCAAGTATTTGCCCTTTTGGATGTGGAAGAAAGTATTAGTTTTGGTTGGCTTTTCCTAATTCTTCACATCTACTACATATGAATTTTGAATGACCACGGAGTTTATATGGTATAAGGAAGCCAAAAAAAAAAAAAAATTAAATATCCTTGGACTGTATTCAACAGTTCTCAAGACTTTTGCTCCCAAATGTATCTTCTGCATGTGTACTCTCCCTGTGCAGGTGTACGCACCCCTTGCAGTTTAAGAATTGCTGGCTTACTGCCCACCTCATCAACTACACGTGCGACCAGTTTCCCTGGATGCCGGGCCCTGCTTCTCCACTGGGTGGTTTGGAGTCACCTTCAGACTGACAGGTCACCTATCAGCAGTGCCTCTCCCAGTTGCACTTCCCTCCCCTCCCTTCTCCTGGCGTAATAGCCTTTTTCCTTCCTGGTACTATTTGATTTCATCCAGTCTCACCTTTCCCCCCTGGAAGGCCTGAGCCACTCTTCTGAGCCTTTTATATTGTCTGCCAAGAGCTTGCAGTAGCTTCAAGCAGCCAAGGTGCTTTGCTGCTGGTAGACCACTACTTGTTCTCTTCTTCCCGCTCAACCTCGCTCTCTATGCTGAGAAATGTTGGGACAGAGCAGCACGAACGGTTGGAGGTGCTACTTTGCTTCTGATCGTCTTTAACTTAACAACAAATTGTCTTTACATTGAGCTGGCCTTCTCAAGATTTTACAAAACTAAGGCTGTGCCCAGGGATAGATGTTAGAGGTGTGAGGGCAAAGGAGTTGCCGACCCGTTTTGGTCATGTCTCACTAAGTTTCAAAGCGGTACTTGAAAGCAGAGTTAAGGCGAGTGTAGAGACTGTGCTTGACTTAAAGCGGTCGGTCTCCTACGTACTGGCAGTGTTGCCAGCAGAGGTTAATGGCGTATCAAAGGAGATCGCATTGTGCTTCACTGGATGAGGCGAGTTTGACTTGCTTACATGTGAAAAGAACATTTCTTTTAAGACAAAATAGCTGGAAAAGTGGACCAGCAGACCTGTTTGTGAAGGGAATGCTCGGTCAATAGGAGCAAAGCCTGGGAAAGACGAGTCCTTCATGGGCAGGTTTTCACAACTCAGACTGGCAATCCCTGCAGGAAGTGCAGAGGACAGGCAGGAGGCAAGGCAGCAGGTTCCTTCCTTAGGGAAGTGCCTTCCTCAGGCACTACTTCTCTGTTTCTTTTGACCCCTCCACCCTTTTTCAGCGAGGAATCAAAGACCAGCCTTACTGTAAAAACAGCACGGTCAGCGTGCAAAGCCAGTGAATTTGTTATCGTCTCAAACACAGTTCTTGCACAGATTCACTGAATTGTCTTTTCATTACTGGTGAATCTGAGTGGTTCAAATCACTTGCACAAATAAAAGAAACGATAATTATTTTCATGGAGTTTTTAAAGTCTCTTTTTCTAGGTGGGGCTTTATAGAACTTGTCTTCAAAATCCACTTCTCAAATGAATTTCAAAGTATTTACTGGAAATGGCAAATTTAAGAATCGGATGATTAATTCTTCCTTTCCTTCACATAGCTAGATCAGTATCAAGTTAAGCTGCACATAAAAGAAAAAGTGCCAGAATCAGTACCAGAAACTGTCTTGTGGCAGAAGCATAGGAAAAAATCAGGGAACTGCAATGTAATTTCTTACCTCCTTATAGATTTTCTCTGGCCTAGATGTTAGAAATGTAAGATCATACCTTGAGAAGGAATCAAGGACGTAAACCCAAATACCATGAGGCTTTTCAAGTCTAGAAGAGCAAACTGGAGAATACCTGCCGGTCCTGCATGGTTGCCTGAGGTGCCAGAGGCAACAATTTTCTCAGATCTTTTGAACACGAGTCATGTCGTCAACACACTTGGCAAACTTAGTGTGTTGGCAGTGGCAATGGGATAATAGTAAAAGCTAGCTTTAGCTTCCAAATGGTTTTTCCCTAGGTTCTTCCACAGTCCGTGAAAGAGGAGGTCTTTTCTGAAAGGTGAGTCAGAACTGGAAGCTGATGCTTGAGCGACACCCCAGAGAGCCTATCTCTTCCCGCTGCGTGCAGGTGTGAGGAGACTTGTGCTTTTTTGGCAAAAGCTAGCCTTCATCAACAGTGCCCTGGGGATCTATTTCACACCTAAGTCCTTGTCGCCCCAGGATGAAGTCCTTTGGGAACCCTGATCTGGTAAACAGGCTACACATATTCCTAACACCTTACGACAAGGCTTTGCTCAACACGAAGAGCAGCAGTTCAGTCCCTCTCACTCCAACGCTGCTGGGAAAGGCGTTGGTATCCACATTACACTGAGAAGACACTTTCTCTGTGGAGGACGAGTGTGGGGCTCTGCCCTCCAGATTTCCGTCGCTGTGATGCTCTCCTTGGTGACGTCCTGAGAGTGAAAAGTAGTGTGATCGTTGCAACTATAAATTAAACTTTTTTCCTGAGGTTACCTTCACAGTGGTCGATTAATATCCTTAGTAATGAAACTCTACTGATAATATGCAATCAAAAAAATAATGCTAAAGCTTTATACACCCCTTCCAAAGTCCAGTGGGCACATCTGTCATTTGTGATTCTAAATTTCATAGACTAATTACTCATCATTGGTAGAAATATTTCTTTTATCATTATTTATTCCAAATCATTTTGCCATTCCTTGTCCTTGTCCTTTCCCTTATGTCCTTATTGTTTCAGACCACACAGAAAGGACAAAGGGTTTTATTTGGCTTTATTTATAGAGCTTTGGGATAATTTTTTTGTACATCTGAGGTTTCTAAAAAGCCACGCCAGAGTATTATCTTTCTGAAAGTCTCCTCGGTGAGCAGATATCCCCTGCTAATATGCTTTTGTTTTATGTGAATCAAAGGCCTTTTCAGTGCTAAAACTACAGCTATGGACAATTTGTAGTCACCCTGATCTCTTTTTTTAACATTGTAATGACTATGCTGATTATCAAATTCTGAAGATAAATAAAAATATTTTTACACTAATGTGTGGATATTTGCTATTCAGGGTAGATGCTGCTGCTAAATAAAGAGGGTTTTTCAAAGCTTCCGAAGTTAGACACAAGCTCGTATATCTGCAGGCACTGTGAGCTGGGCTGGAACTGACACCAGGTCATTTTTGTCTGGAATGAGGAAAATGAAGCCTGGAGTGCTCTTTCTGGTCACTGCAGGCTCCGGAGCTTTCTCTGCTGTCATTTAGGCAAGGTACAACCGGTGAGCTGTCACGCCACTGCCACAGTAAACTTTGCCCTCAGTGTAAGCATTTCCCTTTAAACTTGCTTTGACAGCATACAGGACATACGCTGAGGTTGCCAGTGTGTTAATTGCATTATAGTAATGCTCTGTGGCATCAGAAAGGATCAGGGCTCTGGTTGGCTTGCCACTGAACACGGGCACGTGTGAGCCTGCCCGTCCCTGACAGCCGGCCACCCAGAGCAGATGCAGCAGTGGCCAGATCCAGAGCAAGGACTCCTTGGACCCATGCTCCTTAGACTAAGTCATGCTAGAGAGCAAGATGGCTTTGTTTTGACTTGAAAACTGAGATGTACTGCGCAAAGCCCATTGATAAAACACAGGCTATGCCCAGCTCTTTTAGCTCAGAGGTAATAACATGCCGATATGCTAGAAGATCTTGTGCATATCGACATACAAATGAAAACATGTAGGTTCATGTGTTGCTTCATAATCCCAGGTCTAGTATTGCCCAAGCAAAGAGCTCCTGAGCTGGAGTAAAGCTTACCTAGGCCAGCTATGCAACCATAGCACGTGTTTCATCATGTCTGCCCAGTGATGACACGGCTGGGAAGGGAAAACCACACTTGTACAACAAGGAAACAGAAACAAAGCTGTGCTACCTATGCAATTTTTCTCATCCATGCCTTGGGGGTGAGTAACTATTATTCATGGACTGCTTTAATTTTTTTCACAGCTAGGGATAGGCTGATGAGTAAAGTTTGGGCTGTGGTGTCCAATTTCCCTGGCAATTTTTTAAGGCTTTCTTAAGAGGTAATCTTGTCTACAAGAAGCCTACCACTTAGAGATGGTACTATATATACATGATATGTCTGTATACTAGAAGGAAAGTGAGATCCTCCCCTTCATACAGTAAAGCAAAGTATAGCGCTATCAGATTGGGTTCCTTCCAAGTTAAACATATGGGCAGTTTAATGAGTAAAGGTCTAGGGAAAAAGTTACACCTCCTATGCAACCCGATCAGCGATACGTTGCAGACGAGGAGGTGGTGGTGCTCTGCCCTGCCCAAGCAGCAGGTATTACGACTCCGAAAGACAAAATATGGCTTGGCTTGCATGCAATGGGTAATGGTATGGCTACGTGAAACACTGCTGGCCACAGCTTCCCAACTCTCACGTCTGATGAAGCATCACTGCACGACACACACTTGCCCAAAGGAGTAGAACGAAGGTCTCTGTGCACTCTTTTGCCTTGGTCCTTTTCTTCGCACTTGGTAATGAAGGACTGTAATACCCTCCCCTCCTACGGGATGCAAGAGCTTGACTACCTCAGGAAAACATTTGCTCTGGCAGGCCCAAGCTGCCAAGGTGGTGGTTGCTCCTAACTGTGGCTACGTGCTTTCCGTGCAGCTAATTTCCATGGAAAAATTTACACTTCTTATTGTAAATTTGATTCTCCTTCTCTTGGACAATCTATAGTCTAACATGGAAATGAGCAAAACTTCAGAGAACTTCAGCTGTCTGTGCTGAAACAGTAATATAAGGGATAGGGACTGAACGCTTTCCATATGAATACATGTATTTGCTGCTTCTCTTTGGGTATCTCTAGAGAGAAGAGGAGACTACACACACAAAACACGTCTGACTGTGATGTCAGCCTCAAAGCAGGCAGGAATTGGGATTTATAGAGACAGAGCCCCATGGCTCAAGCATCTCTGAATATCTGACCTTTTTATTTTGACTCCCAAAGTAGGGAGCTGCATTCCCTCACCTTTGAAATATTTGACCAATATATGTACTGTACTGTCATAGTAAAAAATAATATATATTTTGTAGCCCCGTCTGCTTGTACCTTACCCAGAAGGATACATCTCTGGTCCCACTAGTTACTTTATTTGCTATGTGAGATACCACAAATTTCAGCACTATCCTGTTTCAAAGAAGTTTTGAGATATGGCTTTGACATTATCACAGCCAGTAATCTATATCATGGGATTAATTTGCAAAACATCAGATTTTTCTAAAAATTCAGAGAGATTTTTCGCTGTATCCTAACAGTCTGCATTTCAGAAAAGAGACATAAGATTCTTTTTTCTTGTTACATCTTATATGAATTTACATGCCTAGACCTGAAAAATTTGTAAGGAGAATAAATCAAAACAAATGACTTGTGGGAGGATTCAAAAACATAGCAACGTTCTGCACAGGTAGGTAGTTGGAGCTCCATGTACTTCAGATCCAGGAATACTGTCTCACCACTAGATGGAAACACTGGATTTTACATCTTCTGCTGCATTATCAGCACTTACACCTGAATACTATTTGCATATCGTATGCCATCTGCAGGCACCACTGCAGAAATGTGGATCCGAAATTCTTTGCTAGCATACATGGAGTAAAGCCAAGATTTCTATTTCTAGAAATTGTCCCCGTTTTACAAGACTGAAGACTTCCTGATTCCTGAAGGATGGTTCTGTTTGATCCCTAATCTAACTGCTTTTCATTTATCCTTTCTGTAAGCAACCAGAAAAAAACTGCAGGACAGACAGCATTTTGGTTCTGCTACTATGAATTAGGTAGTAAACATCAGCCTAATTTAAACTTTATTCTGAAATCTCTTGCACAAGACCAAAAATAAAGATAAAAGTGGAAGGAAGTTGAAAGTCTTGCATTTCAATGCACCTACTCAATGACAAAAAAAAGCAACGTGGCTTGCTGCCTTATGAGCAGACACTATAGTGTTGCTTGCATATTAAAAGCAAACATATAGTCAGAGAAGTGGAAAGTAATTAAAGGCAGCTCTGTAGGGAAGGATAGTTAAACAGAAGGATTTTTTAAAAAATCTCAGTTGAAAAATGAGCTGGTTACTTATTGTGTGACAAACCTGACTTTTTCTAGAAAGTATTGAACCTTCAAACTGATTCAGTTTAGCTCTACTAAGTTGCATCACTGCAAAGCATAAAGGGAAGCGTCCTCCTTGCACCAAAACATTTGGATTCACAGCACCTTCTCATGTTGTGAAATTCTGGAACCGGCACAGAGACCTTGCTGTCTTCTCCGGTTTTGACACCTCAATCTCAAACTCCTCCACAAAAGTACTAGCAGAGAAACATAGCCATGGCTACTCCATCAAAAAACTCCAGGCACTAGGCATATCTTCAGATTTCTGTTTTTCTGGTCAGGAGAAAGTAGCTCTGGGTTTCATCCAGTCTGACACAAGGACAAACGAGGCAGAGATTGGCATAGCCCTGGTGGTGGAAACAAATCTTGGGGATACATTGGAATTGGCATTTCTGTTGTGACTTAGCAATATCAGCTTTCTGACAGAATATGACAGTAAAGCTCTCTGCTCACCTGACAGAATTTGACAAAAGATTGGCCCAACCCTCACAGGGCCTGGTAACGGCGTATATTTTATGGCGGTACTTCTGCGCCAGTGTGCCGCAATGGCAACCGCTGGGTTTTCCTTTAAGAAGTAGTGTTGTGGTTTAACCTGGCAGGCAGCTAAACACCACAGAGCTAAACACCAGTGGGATGGGGGAGAGAATCGGAAAAAAAAAAAGTAAAATTTGTGGGTTGAGAAAAAGACAGTTTAATAGGACAGAAAAGGAAGGGGAAATAATAATAACAATGATAAAAGACTATACAAAATAAGTGACAGTGATGCACAATGCAATTGCTCACCACCTGCTGACCGATGCCCAGCCAGTTCCCGAGCAGCAGTTGCCGCCCCCCGGCCAACTCCCCCCCAGTTTATATACTGAGCATGATGTCGTATGGTATGGAATATCCCTTTGGCCAGTTTGGGTCAGCTGTCCTGGCTGTGCCCCCTCCCAGCTTCTCGCTGGCAGGGCATGGGAAGCTAAAAAGTCCTTGACTAGTGTAAGCACTGCTTAGCAACAGCTAAAACATTAGTGTGTTATCAACATAATTCTCATCCTAAATCCAAAACACAGCACGGCACCAGCTACTAGGAAGAAAATTAACTCTATCCCAGCCAAAACCAGGACAAGTAGGAATTAGGGTATCGCAGTTCAATATGGACTAAAACGAAGGTACCAAATCTGCATTTTTCCAGTGCTAAAACACGAGGTTGCATTCAAGCTCTCATTTTTCCTGTGTACTGCAAGTACCTGCATTAGTTCTGTGTTCTGATTGATTTTGTTTGCTACCTGTTACCTATCTTTTGCGACCTGTAACAAGTCTGCTCCCAGGTCAGCAGCAAGCTACAGATTGCTGTAGTTCAGTAATACGTGATATACCAGCGGGACTTGGGGGGATGCTGGGAAGGCCTGCAATCAAACCCAATAAACTGTTTTGGGATGTTGGCTCCTTATTGCTCTGTCTCTGTGCCACATGATGCCCCATGCTTGCTTGTTCCTGAAAAGCATGATAAATGAAATAATTTAGGGTTCGGTGCCCCAGACTGCAAAAAATTCCCTGGAGCCCAAATCCTGGAGACTGCTTTTGGACCCCATGGGTGCCAAAGTGTAGCTCACTGGACTCTTTTACCGCGGTAGGCGCCGGGTGGTGTCTGCATCCGAAGAAGCGTTAAGGCTGCGACATCCCTTGGCGGGGTGGCTCCGGCAGCGCCCCACGGTTTCTGGGCGCAGCGTGCCGTCCCGGGGAGCTGCAGGCCCGGGGTGCAGGCTGTGTGTTTGTGTGTGTGTGCGTGTGCGGGAG